CCCATATGTTTTGTACACAGTTGTGAATCGGGGACCTAGTTAATGTTTAGGGTCCTTAGTTGAATGCAAAAACAAACTTATGTACAAAATGAGAATTAAAGTGTACATGTACATATGAACCAGAACATGTACATGTAATTGTCAACATCCATCCACATAAAACCACCACTGGTGGTACATGCATCATACATGTACTGGCATACTATATGAACTGGTAATTTATACATATGTACATGTACTCATACTACATGTACGGTATGGGTACCAGTACTTTTCATGGATGAACCTGTAAGAAACTTGGCATTTGCAACATATGACCAATTTTTCTTGCTGGCCATTATTTCATTTGGTGGAAAAACTCAATTTTTATCTGCCAGACAAGCAAGGGGATGTGTACATGTACATGTACATGTACAACAACCAAGTTTTTAGCAAGATTCATGTACAATAATTTATCCCAATTATTGTCTTATTAAACTTAATCTCAATCCTGTTCTGCAAGAGTGCACATCAATTGCTGCTTGTACAGAACCAAACATTGGTTGTACCCTTACCCCATGGCTAGGCAAATTACTGTACGTATTTTTATGTACATGTAGTGTATGGTATAAGTGCGTGTTGACCCTTGATTCCCAAGCAGGGAGTGGATAGTCACAGCACTACATAATTCATTTCATTTCCTGCCTGTATTGCAAATAAATTACCTGTGCATTGTACTGTATCTCCCAGACTGGTGAGCCAATTTGATCCAACAGGCAATTAATCCAGACTTGATTGAATTATTGAAAGGGAGATGAGTACATGTAGTCATGGTAGTCGTACATGTTGGCGCTACTGCTGAGTATTACAACATTTTAGTTTGCATATCATCCCTTAGGTTCACTACTACATGCATGTATTAGGGCTGTGTCGAATAACAGAATATTCGAATGATTATCGAATATTTGAGCATTATTTTCTGACTTTGAATAGTCAAATGCAACATTCATGAAAGGGAGGGGAACATTTTTGTTTGTTTTGAATGAGGAAAATTGCACTATGGAGGCATGTTCCAAGCTGATTCAAATGAAAAGTGACAGAAATCTTACAACGATTCAAAAAGTAAATTATTCATTAAATAAGTTACATGTAAAAAGAATAGAAATTTTCAACAGAGCAAGAAGTATTGCGCATCTCTGAAATCTTGCTAAATCGTGGCTAAAGATACTCCTACAGTAGATATATGAGAAGCTATCACATATTGATTGTATATTGATCAATTGTGTGCATTATTGCAACTGATTTTGTATCAACAATCTGCCGGTCGGTACGGCCGAATATTTGGATATATTCAATTGAATTGAATGTTGAATATTCAAATAGTGAATTATTCAAATTGATTTAGCTCTATTACATATGTACCCAGTATCTAGATCTACGTGTTTGATACATGTATAGGCACTGTATGCTACATGTAGGTTGATGTAAAGCATAACTTCATAAGTCTGTGATTTTAAAGGTTTTCATGGCCATTTTCCATAAAATCTTGTTTGGCTTAACACAGCGTCCATTTAATTTCGTTTTTAAAAAAGAATGAGCACATGCCCATTCTGAAATCAAAAGCAGACATTCAAATTCCTCATTTAGCATTCTTTCTGGAAATACCTTCATTCAACTTCCAAAGGTTGTTTTCAGAAAGAGCAGGCATCTAAATAGTCTTGTTTCACTTATGGGAATTCAAACTTGTTTCAGTCATAAGCGCCCTCTGGATCTTACATAAAGTCAAATTTTCCTGGCAAGAAATAGGGTTTAACAGTGGATCTTCAGACAGCTTTTTTGTCAAAGTGACTAAGGAGCCTCCAGTGCTAGGAATATTGGGCCCTCTCTCTTGGTCCAGCTTGGAGCCCATGCTCGTAATTTGAGCACTCATCGGAACACAAAATAGATTTACTTTAAAAAGATCCTGTATGCATCAATGAGTTTTAGTTGAACTGCACCTGTTGGAAGAAGACAGCAGAGATTACACAGAAGAATGGTGATACCGGTACATGTAGAACTACATGTACCGGTACCGTAGTACACGTACATGTATACCGGTAATGTACATGTACATGTAATTTCGAATGACCATAAATGAAGTGCAGTGTCAGAAACGAAACTGAACGGTGAAGCTACATGTACATGTACAATGTATCTCATAGGGTTTTTCAACATCTCCAGGAAACCTCCTTTTAAAGTTATTCTAATTTGTGCACTTCATGTAATTGGTAACATTCAGGATAAGTACACATGTACATGTACATGTCCCGCATTTCCCACATTTTAGCCTGATATGTACCCGGTATGGGCCTTTGGTAAGGTGGCACTCAGGCCTGAATTCATCATTTTACATGTAAATTAAGGGATGCATTCTTGATGGTCCGTTTGGGTGTACCAGTGTAATGCTTGTTGTTTATAAATTAATTACTGATTTGAGGCTGTGATTACATGTAGTTCTGGATTTTCCCTTCTTCCATTTACCCCAGATGAAAATGCTAACCTAGATAATCAGACCTTTGGGAATGAAGACCACCTGACCACCTACAAGCTAGCTGGGGCTGGCTGTGATCAGCTAACCCGCCTTCTGTGCGTCCTAGCCCACACTCGACCAGACATCAACTATTGCCCTCTCCTGCATCCAGTAGCGGCCCTCTTGCTGCACTACATGGATGCTGAGCAGGCATTTGACTGTTTGTCAGCCCTGCTTGGGAGCCATCGCTACAAGTACCTGGACCAGAGCTGGGTTGAATACGAAGCCTTTCGAGGGAGTTTCACCAAGCTGGCCAAAAAGTTTGCTGTAAGAGAGCTCTGCATGTTTGTTATTATGTTAACCATGTACATGTACGGGCACGTGTTCATGCACATGTAGCAAGAGAGAAACTTGGAATTCTCAGACTTTTTCTACACATTAATACTAATTGTTGTATAGTACATGTACATGTACCGGTACTGTCAATGTACAGCAGGGTTGATAAATCATGATTTTTTTTTAATTAAAAAATCAGATTTTTTTTATTTACATCAGATTTTTTGATTTAAATCAGATTTTTTTGATTGAAATAGAATTTTTAATAAGCTAAATAACAATTGGGCCTAACTATCATGACCATTTGCTTGAAACATCCCAAATTCACTGTCAATCCTTTTAATTGCAACTACTGGTACCATTCACATGTACAACACTCACTACATGTATACTTTATTTACATCCACAGACAAACATGTATATCAGATGTGAACTGTTTCTATGCTATCGCTGATGTGGCTATTCTGACCATAGACAAAATGGTTTTATCAATGGCCTGCAAAGCGGGGGCATTTGATGTGGCTACTCTGACCATAGACAAAATGGTTTTATCAATGGCCTGTAAAGCGGGGGCATTTGCATACATGTAGAATGTTATATAACAGCTAATGACGGTTGTTAATGTGCAAAAAAAATTAATGGTACACAGGCAAGAGATTAATTCTGTGCAGGTATACATACTATAGGAACATCACTTCAAATTGACCATAGGCTATAACTAGTACATATGTAAATTGCTTCAGAATATGTAGGCCCCTAATGTGTATTGCACATAAAATGATCCCTTTTAACTTAATGAGTGTTTTCTTTGAAGTTCCTTCAGTGACTAACTGGTTTTTTTTCCTTTGAAAAAATCAAGAAATAATATAGTGATTTTTATTTTTGATTTTTTTTTCAGTGATTTAAATCAAACAATACATGTATGTACAGTGTATGAAACTCAAAACTTAAAAAAAAAATGAAAGAAAAATGGGTTTTACTTTTTTTTTCACTGCTGGTAATATTTGATCTAAGTAAAGTGTACGTGCTTGTCCTAGAGCATTGTGTCACAGCAGTACTTCTATAATTCCTTCCAATGCTGGTTGTCAAATTATACTCCAAAGCATGCCTAATGTTATCAGCACATGTTCACTCATGGGGAGAAGGAGACAAGGGAGGCCAGACATCAGAGCAGGTGGTATTGGACAATGGATGGAGCTCCTTAGGGCTGTACATGCACTGTGAGCTAATGCTCAAGAAAAAGGGCTCATTTAAAAGGCACTCATGGGGTAGACTGCACTTTGAACATCTAGTTTTGACCATGGGTACTGTATATACGGTACTAGTACATTAAAAATGAACATCTCCGTCCATGTTGGCACACACATGTACGGGACGTACGTAGCTTTAGTTTACATGTACATGTAGCATGCACTTAACATACGTACAGTATGTACTTGTACATCTGGTTTTCAAAAATTTATTTTCGTAATTGATTTGCAATTTTGCACTTAATTTTGCATGATAATTTGTACATGTACAGTTGATGTCAAGCGGTAACGTATAGTACAAGTGCATACATGTATGTAACCACGTAAGAAAACCTCACATGTACATCCGAACAGTAAAGGTTCAATATTCATGCACTTGTACAGTACATGTGTGACCGCACTTGATGAATGATTTTAATTTGGTTTTTACACATATACTGTAGGCATGTCACTGTCTCAGTGTCTGCACATTGCACAGTGTTTTAATATCCTCACTTGCATGAGTTTTATGTTGATTTGCACTTGTTTGGTTTGGTTTGTTTCCCCTTTGTTTTGCTGTCGCAGAATTCGGCCCATTCTTTGATTGTTAAACAGGGTATGGATCCTGGACTTGTCTTCAAGGATTGGATCTGGTGGATTCTGGAGGACCTTCCGTTTACACACCTGGTTAGTTGATTGACTGTATCATAGGCTAGGCAGTCTCTATGTGAATCTTTCAAAATAAATGTCATATCTCAAGAAGACACCGTTTCTGTCTAAGTCAACTCTGGTTTCTCAGACCAAATGGTAAAAGTCTAAGTTAAGTTCATTAATGAAGTGTTTGCGAGAATTGCTTGAAAGGAGTCTTCAAAGTAAAGTGGGACCATTTGTCTTCATCTACATTTTTGCCATTTGTAGTCTTGTGTACAGGAACTTTGATAACAACCAACCTACAGTTTGACCTAATGCAGTTTTAGCTCTGCCAGTAGTGTATCGTATATTCCAACAAAATGCACAGCAAGTCTCGAAAGTCCATTTATAATTGTGCTATTTGAATGTGATTATCACTCAGCATGTGTGATTTTCGATGCCACCGCATGTCCAGTGTACACTGAAATGTCCTGACAATGACCCACTTACATCTATTCATAGAATCACCAAATTACAAGTCAGAATGCATGATCATATTATGCCTAGGAATTTCCAAAACTTGTGAATTGAGTGAATTGGTACCTTTTGTGAAATGTGGAAATGACCTTCTTTGTCTTTTTTTTTTTTCAAAATGACACCACGTTAGATCATGGAGGAATAAAACACATTCCTCCATGGTTAGATGGACTAACTTCATAGAAAAATAATTTTTCTGTCTTTGAATCCAGTACAGTAGTGAAAAGAATTTTGTCAGTTGGTTTTTGGATACCTGTACAAATGTAGAGCGCAAATTGTGGACTCTCGTTTCAAACCTTTGGTTTTGTAACTCATATCCAAACTTAGCTCCAGATAATGTTATGAGTAGTTGACTATTAAAATGAATCACCATGATGATGATTACTTCAACTTCTGCTGTACAGTATTCATAACTTAATTATTAAAGAGCATTTTAAGTTGGCATGGTCAGTACTGTAAATGGACTAAATTCACTGTAGCAGTTTAGAAACATTACCTTGCTCTGCATGTACATGTGGACATACCAGTAAACATACATGTACATGTATGTGCATATATGCTCTACAGTTTATTGAACTCTAGTACAAAACAGCAACTGATGATTTAGAATCAATGTGAGAAATGAATGCCAAGATATGTGAACAAATGGGTAAAGAATCCCCCCTACCCATCCCACAAAATAGAAGCTACATGTAACAAGTTGAAAAAGCAAGTTTGTCTCTTTTGTTGTAGCCTACGTGTAAATTTAGTGTAATACGCTCTAGTGTAGTTTGGTGATGACTTTCCAAGACACAGCAGATGGTCCATTTTTGTTTGTGTTTCAGGTCCGTGTCATGGATGCCTATCTCATGGAAGGCTTGAAGATTTTTTATCGTGTGTCTCTGGCAATCCTCCAACTCTTCAATAAGAAAAGGAAAGGTGAGCAGATACATGTAGCTTTAGGACAAAAGATGTCAAAAGAACCCATATACTGTACATGTACTTTACTGAGATGTAATGACATCTGACTCATCATGATTGAAAAAAAAGTGATCATTTTGTCATGTTTGTGCCGTTGGAACATGCACATGATATGTATATAAAAGTAGACACCGATTAAAACTGTCAGGCAAATGTTTACTTGCATACAGGTATCTATACATTATGACAAAGTAAAACGCAGAGTCCCCCCCCCAGTTTCCAGAATTCAAAGCAGATATTTCTTTCATTTTCTTTCAGTTTAGTGTCTTGGTTGAGTAGGAAAGGGATGAACCTACAGGTAGTTGGCATCCAAATTTCTGGCTTGTACATGGAATGTGCAAGTACGTTCATGTACATGTACTTCCTGTCCCCAAGGTGACAATCACTGTTACTAAAATCTAAAAATTCACCTTGATGCAAAACTGAAATTAAGATTGAAATATATTGTGATGAGGGCCCTTCAATTTTTTGCATGTGACATTTAAAATACACACATGTAATTTTACATTACATGTGGACATGTACAGTGTACAAATACTTACCAACTTGGTTCATACACTTGACCTACAATGTACGTACATGTATTGCACCGAGAATTTGATTGGACAAAGAAGTCTTTTCAAAAATATTAGGTGTAACTCTTCTGGGTTTGGTTTCCATTGAACTCTAATTATATCTACATGTACATGTATGTCCCAGGCATTTTGTCCCAGAGATCTTGAATGCTCAACTATCAAATGCGTGAACACTGTACTACATGTATGTGTGGATGCATTGAGTCAGGATAAAATTTGTGTGGTTAAAAATATAAAACATGATGTACACTGCGCAATATTCATGTACATGTACTTGTACAAGTGTAGTCAGCCTGTGTACATTTATGTACGAGTATACTCTGTTTCAGTGCAGAGCTTCATATGCATGGTGGGCTGCTACATGTACTGTACATGTAGTTGGCTGCCATGCGTATTTGCTGCATACCTGGTAGCCATGCAAAGATCCTCTGGGTTTTGTGCTCATTTAGATGAAAGTCTGTGGAGCATATTCTATCACTTGATGATTAGTTGGTTGTACACGTACATGTGCATGTATTTCACTCTGTTGTGCACTACTAGCATTTTATATGAACACATGCTTTGTGCATCTGCTTGTGTATGAATCCCATTTGAATGCTGCATCCTACATGTAATTTATGTACATGTACAGTTATATATTAAAGTCACTGCCTAGTAGCTGTAGCCATTTCTCATTAATGCGTGCATTATTTCCGGTCGCAGCCAGTTGATTTGGACGTAAATGTACATACGTGTACATGTGTAGCCTACATGTAATTTTGATTGATTTAAACAAAAACTAAAGTGGCAGTGTGTGACTCTAACCATGCTATGATTGAAAGTGGTTGTGCTTCTTTTGTCAGGCCTGTCAGGGAAGGCTGCACAATCCAGTGACTTTGTTTCCAGCATTCGTCAGTTTGCCCAAAATATTCCAGTTAATGCTGATGTCTTGCTTACAGTAAGTTGAAGGGTCAATTGTGTATGTACCAATGCTCTGCAGCATCACTTGTGAAACTTGTAACTTAATATTACTTGTAGGTCATTTAGGGATGCAGTGCATCATTCTCTGAAGCTAAATCAACCTTCATAATTAGCATAGTAAAAATGTTTTTGATACTTTGCAAATACAAGTTTTGGCTGATGCTAAAAGTGGTACATCAGTAGGCCTCTTTCTGTAAAACATAGTAAAAGTATTCACACACCATTTTTGATGTGTGTCAAAATATATCAAATGCCATTCTTTTACTGTGGAATAGTTAATTGCCCAAAAATACTTTCTCAGTGTGATACATATACACATATTGTTTAATCCCCCAGGGCAAAGTCTCTCTTTCAGTTACTAATGAAATGAGAATTCATTTTGCTACTTGTATTTCTGAACTTCCCTTAGATGAGAATGTTTTGTCCACTTGAAGTCCAACTCTACTGTAGATCTACAAAATAATGCAAAAATGCCTGATTTAATTGTAAATGCGGAGATAACATATAAATTTCTTTTGAGAGCAAGTCTGCTGTGATACAGTACCGTCTTTTTGAGTGGGAGGAAGTAAACGATTGTAGATACTATGGTATATGCAATTTGCCAGGGTGGATCCAGAAATAAATTTGGTTGGGTGAGGTGGCAAAATGGGATTTTAGGATTGGGCCCAAAACTTTGGAATTTTAAAGATGTAATCTTTCTTAGATGTGAGGCTACATTTCGGGGCTTCGTGCAAGCTTTTGGAAGGCAATTAAAATGGTCCTCCAAAATTGCCTGCCTTTCTTTTTTTTAAAAAAAGGCTCCAGTGTTGTTTGTTTTTCTGGGGGGGATAGCCCCTTTTGCCCTGTCCCCCATGTGCCCTTGGCCATTGGCCAGTCAGTACATGGGAACTTTTAGTGGGTCATAAAAATGCAAATCTTGATGCACTGCCCACAAATTCTTGATGTTATGAATGAGAAGTTGAAGTAACTTTTACGGGAAGGACATCCCTAAATCTGCTTCTTCTTCACATTCATGATCTCTGCTTTAAGTGTAGGGTTCCTGCATTTCCTTTGGTTTTCAAGCAATTGCCTGATACTCTCTTGCCTGTGTTTTGGCAGTCATTCCAATCTTTCTTGCACTTTTTATCAGATGGGTTTCCAGTTCCGAGGGCTGTCGCGCACCATCATTGACACGTACCACACTAAATTCAAGCAGACAATCAGAGATTCTGGCATGGTGCCGCCAGTCAGACAGACCAACAAGGGAATCCCTGCAGTATTGAATGATATCAACTCTTCCATCATCAGCTCCAAGCAGGTATGGTATAAGACTGCAGACCTGTCCTCATGTCATACATGGACAGGCAGCGTCCTCAAACACTCTGAAATCATGTTGGTTACCTTGAATTCCCCTTGACAGTGAGCCATTTCCATATTTTAACAGGGTATAACGTACTAGCACACTCAAGCCAGCTATGTTTGCCCTGATTGTGGAGTGCCGTGGCCTTGTGGTTAAGAGTATCGGATTCGCAGTTGGCGTTTAAAGCTGCAGGTTTCTGGTTCGACTCTAGCCTGGGGTCATGATGTGTGTGCCCTTTGGCAAGGCACTTTGTCACTCATGGCCTCTCTCCACCCAGGAGTAATTGGGTACCTATATAGGCAGAGATAGTTATTGTGGTTGATTTAGCTGCGTTGCGCCAAAATGGCAGCATCAAGATGTATACATGTACTCCCCTGGGAGCTGAGATGGTATTTCGAATATTTCATGGGCCCAGTGAACAGGGGTAATAACGGTGTATAATGCTTTGATCTGTGTTAAGGGCACTTTATCATGTTTATTAATACCTATAAATTTACAAATAGGTCATTTGGGAGACATTTTGTGGTTAATTTTTCAGCATTAGGGAGACATTGGCTTTTAGGGAGA